GGCAAGAAGGCGTGCTATTCTAGGTAATGATACCTTTTACTCTGTACAAGAAAGGCCAAAATCGCATTCAGCAGCTTGATACGCAGCTTAATGAGAAGCTTGATGAGCCTACACCTATGCCTCAACGGCGAGCTCCACAACGCTGCAGTGGCTGTGGGACTATTGGACATACCATAAGGAATTGTCCTAATAAATAGCTATATATTCAACTACTAGATAGTCTAATTTAATTGTATTGGTGGTTGAAAAGCTTCAAAATTATAGTGGGTGCGGCGAAAATTCGTCGCTCGGTGGTATTCGTCGCTCGGTGGTTGATTACGTTAACTAGTTAACTTAACTAACCAAACAGATGACTAAGTCATTACATAAGCAGATACCAGACAAATCACTTGATGGAATTTGCTGCATTGTGACTGGCTGTCGGCAATTGACTTGGTTAAACTCCGGAGGGAAGGAACTGCTGGAATGGGACGAGGGTTTCGCCAGAACCAGCACTCCAGATGGACGTAAGGAAGCTCGATTATTATTACCAGACTAGCAACGTTCTATTGATATGCTCCAGACGATGCTGATTGATACCGGCCACTGGGAGCTCACGTGCATCCGTTGTGCCGTGAGTCTCCGACGCTTGGAATTAGAGCGCGCCTGATTGGCGGGCGCCGCTGAGTCAGCCACTGCCGAACGGCCGTCCCGAGGTTACTAGGGCGAGGCTTTAGGCTAACAAGCAGGCGACCCTCTGCAACTCAACTTCACCACTGGCGTCTGTTTCATCGCAATCTCTACCTCGTCATCACCTCTCCACTCCTCATAGCCATTGCCTGCCGCGCTCTTCACTGAGTTATTGCGGCTGCCTCTCGTCTGCTGCCCACAATGGCCGCTCTTCGATCCTCCTCGCGCCTGCTGGCCTCCTCCCGGCCGTTCTTGACCGCGCCCTCGGTGTTTGCGCGGTCCTATGCCACCGTCGACCCTATCTCCAAGGTCACTGAGGCCGCCTCGGCCAGCACCAAGCCTGTCCCTGAATCGCAGACCTCGAATGTGAACGAGCCCGCGCCGTCGAAACAGCCTCGGATCAAGACCTTCCACATCTACCGATGGGACCCCGACCGTCCGACGGAGAAGCCTCGCATGCAGACCTACCAGTTGGATCTGAACAAGACGGGTCCTATGATGCTGGATGCGCTGATCCGAATCAAGAACGAGATCGACCCGACCCTGACCTTCCGCCGCAGCTGCCGAGAGGGCATCTGCGGGAGCTGCGCGATGAACATTGACGGAGTCAACACGCTGGCTTGTCTGTGTATGTACACGAAAATGGTTTGTGGCGTTGTGATGGATGGATGCTGACGGATCGCAAGGCCGGATTCCCACCGACACCTCCAAGGCTTCTCGCATCTACCCTCTGCCGCACATGTATGTGGTCAAGGACCTGGTTCCTGACCTGACCCACTTCTACAAGCAGTACAAGTCGATCAAGCCGTACCTGCAGCGGGAGACCAAGTCGCCAGACGTAAGTATCTTTTTCTGTCGATGCGATTTCCGTTCTGACCCGCCGTAGGGCCTGGAGAACCGTCAATCCCCAGAGGAGCGCCGGAAGCTGGACGGTCTGTATGAGTGCATTCTGTGCGCGTGCTGCTCGACGTCGTGCCCGTCGTACTGGTGGAACAGCGAAGAGTACCTGGGACCGGCGATTCTGCTGCAGTCGTACCGGTGGCTGGCGGACTCTCGGGACGAGAAGAAGGAAGAGCGCAAGCAGATGCTGAACAACAGCATGAGCGTGTACCGATGCCACACGATCCTGAACTGCTCGCGGACGTGCCCGAAGGGACTGAACCCGGGCAAGGCGATTGCGGAGATCAAGAAGATGCTGGCGTTGTAATAGATTTTCCGAATTGCACTGCACCTGACTTGACTGGGCTTTTCCTTTGTTGTGTTGTACTGTAAATGAAACATCTATATATCTGAACCTGATAGCATTCTATACCAAAGCGTTATTTGTATGCGTAGCAGATTGTAATCTGATTGCACAGTTTACCTTCCCGGATCCTTCCCTCGTCCTTACATAGTATAGACTCGCATAACAGCATTATCGTCATCTTTGTCATCATAATCGGCTCCAGACCAGACGGAATTTCCATTCAACGGATGAATTCAAGAATAGTCTGCTCCGTAGACACCAATCGAGTATCAATAGACTAGAAGCCAAGCAAATATTGGCAACATCCTTCCATCCATCCATCCTTTTGTTACGCGCTGGGTCCAACCGTAGTCGTCGATACTTAACAATGGTGGTTAGGGAAGGATCAAGGAGTCTTCCTGACTCTGTGTCGTTCACGAGCACGCGACGGTCTAACTGACCCGGGTCTCCTCTCTCGAGACAGCGGACTACCTGGCGAAGGGCTCTTCCTCGAACGACCTTTCACAAGTATAAAGGGGTCTCACAGGGACACGATAAAGGTAAGTCAGATGAATGAATGACAACGACTAGGTCAGAGGCAACGCCTACTAGAGCTATACCGAAGTATACCACTAGTAGTAAGAAGTCTTACTGACCCCAAGTAAGTATCTTAGTAACAGTAGAAT